GGGTCCTGCCTGACACTTCCACCTGCTCCTTCCCACTCACCCCTCCCCGTGTCTGTTGACTGCTTTTCCTTTCTCTCTTCCCAGAAGGAACACGCTGTAGGGTGGAATGCAATGGAGGTTGTAAGAAGGGGTTTTCATTTATCCCCGTTTTTGCCGAGTTTCACACACTGCTGGCTGTATTTCCTTTTACAGTGTGCCACAAGCTCAAGCCACCCTCATAACTTCTACCTGGTTTTCCCCTGCCAGCTTTGGAGGCTAAATATAAGCTCTGGGAGCTGGCCCTGCGTCCCTGCCCATATCTGGCAGCGCCTGGCGTTCCACCGCGGTTTCACACAGCCGATGCTTTTCACGAACTTGGCAGCTGAAGAGAGCCACTTCTCCCCGAGCAAGCTGCATTCGTTTCTGAAGAAACAGCAAACACATTGCTAGTTTGCAGTGCAAAAGGCCATGTTGCAATTTTCTTTTGAGTGCCTAGGTTCCACTTTGCCTCCGGGAAGGAAAAAAAGTCAGGCTAAAAACTTGATCAGACAGTGCTGGTTGTTGTCCAATGATTTGTTTGGTAACACTGTGATTTTTTTGAGGAAAACAGTATTTTTAAAGGTTTGGCAGTTTTAAAACAGCATTTAATGTGTAATGGAAACTTATGATGGATATATTAGCATCTGTGCCAGACCAAACATCTGTAGTTTTTAATGAAGAAGGCAATAGGAAACCAGAATTTTAATTCTGTTTTACAGCTGACACTATAAATCAGCTATTTTAAATCAGACCTAGTTGTAGGATTAATTTTTGTGGTTCCTATGGTAGAAAATGAACAGTCCTAATTCAGCAAAGTATTCCACAAGAACTAGACATGTCAGCAAACTCGGCCTTAAATTACTTGTTTGCACACTGATAGAGGTGGATGGCAGTTTGAAAAAACCACAGAGACATATACTAATTCAGACTATGTCCAGACGAGTGGTGGGAACCTGCTAATTTTCCCAGGTTTTAGGCTTCTCTTTCAGGTTAGAAGTACCTGTGTTAACCTATAGCTGGAGAAGAACAGTTCCCAGTTTGACTTGACAAGATACCCCAGAGAAACGAGAAAAATATCCCAGATATTCCAGACTGGCTGCAGCCAGCCTGCCTTCTGCTGCCTTCCCCACAGCCCCTCCATGGGGTCCAGGCCAGCCCCAGCCACGGCTGGACATCCAGGAACCAAAGGGAACCTCACTCTTTTAGCATCTGCCGGGGAAGGGGGTCTCTGGGAACATTTCTCCAGGCTTCAGTTTTTGCCATTGAGTTAGAAATTAGGGACAATGAAAAAGAAACTTGCGCCACCATAAAAATTGTCACTGTAGTGGCATACTCAGACTATGTAGAGTCATCTTTTGTAAGATGGGTTACAGTAATCTGCCTTAATTAAAAAGTAAAATAAATTAGAATAAACTACCATGATTAAGACCAAAGTATGAAGTGTTTAAACTGGCATGTCATATTCAACAGGTGGAGTAAGCAAAAGATATTCCTGCCTACAGTTACACAGCCTGAGCTTAAGACTGCAATTTGGTAAGTCATGGTAATTTAGTAACTTTTAAAATTCCCTGTTGATGCAAAAGCTGAGGATTCTATAGAGGCTGGTACCCTTCACTGTAGCTTGTTTATTCTTGGAAAAGGCTGATGAATAAGGGATGTCAAAGAAAACAGGATGAATGAAAGAAGCATTACAAAGCACTTTGATCAGACTATTTTCTAGACATACTGCCTATATTTTAAGAATGGGCTTGTGACTGGACAACCTATTCAGAAAGTAATTCTTGAAAATATGAAGAGCTTGATAATTGCAAAACATTGCTGACCAGCTGATACATCTTGGAGACCGTGATGGTCTCCAGATAAACTTACTGAGGAGAAATGGTATGAGATAAGCAAGCTATAATTTAGCAAGGACAAGGGCAAATTTTACATGTTGTTTGGAATAAATGACTGCGAAAACAGGGTAGAAAACAACATGAAGGATCTGTGAATTACCATGTATCACCAACCAAATGCCAACCATTTCATACTGCTGAGAAAAAAATGAATGACATATGGCGATGTATGAACAGCAGTGCCATATGCAAGATGTGAAAAATCATCCTCCTACTCTACGTGCTGCTGAAAGCCTCAGTCTGAATCCTGTGCCTGGATTTAGACACCACGCTCCACGGAAGATGTGGAATGGTCAGAAATAAGAAGATTGCTGGAAGTCTGGTAAACATAGTCTGAGGAAAGCTGGGATGAAGAGGAAGAAGACTGGGAGAGAGTGGTAGCAAATATGCAGAGAAAAAGAAAATAAATTATTTTCCAGATGCAGTGGATAAATAAGGAGGACAGCTAAGTTGCAAAAGGGGAACTCAGGTTAGACATGATACAAATGCTATAGTGGTTGTGCAGTGAAACACAGGAGGAAGTGGTCCAAGGAGGAGATAAAGTGCATGATGAAAACTATCTGTTATTTCGATGTAATCTCATCCTGAGTACAATGATGTCTGGAGAGTGTCCCCCCGCCTCCGCAACACTGATGAAAAGTTAAAAATCCTCAGCTGCTATAAACCAGGGAAACTTCATTAATGATGTATACCAGTAAAGGGGCCGTGCCTGAAATGTGTCCGGTGTAATCTTTTTTTCTATCTCATTTCTGCTTTTAGCCTTGAGATTATGAGTAATAGATACAGGGCTACATCATTAGCCAGAAATCCTTTAGCTTTCTAAAGGTCAGTTAATCTATGATCTAATCTGATGGTCGCTGAAATTAAGTGGAAGCAGTTCAGCGGGCTATAATGGAGGATTCTTGGTGTCTGTAGCCTTCAGTTGTCTTGACTTAAAACATCCTTTATAAGCAAAACAACATCTAGGTACGAAATACATTTCAAAACACATGCTGAATCTTTCCGCTGTACTTCAGGGGAAAAAAAAAAATAGGCCAACCTGCCCTTCTAGCTATCTTATCTGCCAGTTTAAAACAGTTCTCATTAAAAACTCCAAAATGCTGTCAGTGCCTTCTGTTCACCTGTTGATATTCCCATCCCTTGGGAGATTTTATGCAGCTGGGCAAGACTTACATTAACTTGGCTGCTCTATCTTGACTTGTTCGCAGTGGGAGCTGAGCTGCCCTTTTAAGAGTGGAATACTTAAACCAAGGAAGACCAAAAAAAATCAGGAAAAAGGAAAAAAAAAAGGAAAAGAAAAGCCAAATTGACTATACAGCTTGGCACTTAAAGGAGCACTAAAATAGACATGTGAAACTTTACATAGCTATCTGTAAGTCTTTGAGGATTTAAAGTCTCAGCATTGTCACTACTAGTAAATTAAAGATCTGAAAAGTTGTCCCAGGGAGCAGATATGTGATCCCTAAACAAAGCTAATATTTCATATTTTTGAGTCAGTTTCCCCATGTACTTTCACATCATATGTCTGGACTTCAGACTGCTTTTCTGCTACTCTTATAACACATCTGAAAATCCCCTCCTATCTAAAGTTACACTTAATATACACTACTTAGTTTGAGGAATTGAATTTTACAATACATGAACAGGCATAAAAACCCACCAAAGAAACCAGAAACTCAGGTCAGAAAGACACCCTTCTTCTGACTCTGACTTTCTTGTGCTGCATTTCCTCTAGATTACAATGTAGTTTAATTTTCATGGATGTCATCTGAAAATGACAGCCGATGTAATGTAGCTGAATTCTGTTTGTCACTGAATATATTCTGTATGTTAACTGGTAGTGTGATGCACTGAAGCATAGTCTTTAATTAAAGTGCAACAATACCACAGTGCAGCAGCAATACAGTAAAGCACAGCACAGGAACCTGGTGCTGGATACAAAAATAGCTGTGCTCAAAACGTGTCATATCACTACATGATGTGACTAAGTCAGTGGAGACACTCTTACACTTGAAACCTGAGGTATTACTGAGCACTGATTTTCAGCTGGGGAAGCTGTGATCAAATCAATGCATGTATTATTCTCCACAAATGAATAATGGTGTGAATAAGGACATATTAAACACCTACAGTGCACAAAACTTTTCACACTGGTTATGAACCAAACACAAACAAAGAGGCTGTGAACTCTCCAGAGCTCTCATTTTGTCTCCTGTGAAGTCGTCCTGTCTCTTTGGGTACAATATACAGAATTTCCACAAATGCCCTGGTGCCAGCAGGAGAGGGCTCTGGGTTGGGAGCAAGATGACCACGCGTCTGTTCTCCTCTTTTCTACCCTCGAGGAAAACAAAACATTCTGAAACCACTCCATACTCCACAGTGAGTAAAGGTGGTACAAAACTCAGGGAGATAAAGATGTCTCTGCTGGCACAGGAGCCAGGGAGCAGCCAGTGCTGCTTCTCTCCATAACCCTCTGCCGTGGGTGGGATGTGCTGCTCGTGCTGAGCTTGCAGGTCTATCTCTGACCAGGGGTATCAAAGTTCTCTCCCCCAGGGCTGTGAAACTCAGCTAACACAGGGACTTCTGGAGAAATGCAATCCAGAGCCAAACACCACTCTTATTCCACAGACAGGCTCCTGCCAAGCAAGGACAGCACTGCTCTGGTCTCCAAAGGAGCCAGCACTCCCTAAATGCCCAATATGGATAGCCCTTTGATTTGCCAACACAGCTGACACTGTCAGTGTTGCATGGGGACCACTGCAAAGGTCTCCCTCCAAAACCAGAATCAAACATCCACAGAGAAGCAGCAGCTAGGCTCCATCTCGACAAAAGGCACGGCATTTGCACACCCTTGTTACTGCACAGGCTCCACATCCCACAGAGTTGTGCTATGCCACACTGGAGCCCCAGGCATGATTTTAATATTCAGGCACCATAAAAACAGTTTAGGAAAAGAGGCAGGGTGGATTTGGCATGGGGCAGTGCTGCAGGAATGAGACAACAGGAACCATGCAGTGATGCTTGTCTGCTTGCTGGAAATGCATCAGGGAGGCACAAACAGACAAAAGAGAGAGAGGAGATAGTTACCTAACATGACGAAGGGGATTCCCAGGAAAGTGGAATTGTATTTCCCACCAGTGAGATTGATGATCCCAGCAGCAGTCAGGGTGGCAAGGGTCACTGTCAGCAATCCCAGCAGGCCAAGCCAGGGTTTGCTGCGGACACAATCCTGCATGGAGCAGCAGAGAATGGCCAAGGTGACCACAAGGACCAAGCTTGTGATCAGGTAGCGTTCTGACACCCTGCTCGTCTTCTGGAAATCCTCCTTCAGTGAAGAGGAAGTGAAAGGATACATTTTGACTTTCCTGTTGGATTTCTGGAAAAGTTCAACAGTGTCACAAAAAATGGATTCCCACTTCTCTGCCACCATGTCATTCAAGGAGTTGATTGCCTGCAAGTAGTAGGTGAGCTGAATGGCTTCTGCAGACTTCACCCGGTCCTTGCTGTGCACAGTAACCCCACCGAGCTGATGCCCATTATACACTTCCCTGCCATCCTTTAAGTGAGTAATCGGATAAGTGATTGCAAAATTAGTTCGATTAGAAGAACGAGCAGCTTTTAATTCCTCCAGTACATGCACTATGTCGTCCACTATGCAAGTCTTGTCATTGTTCAGGATACATATATGGGCAAACGTGTAATTGAAACCAGGTCTTTGAACTTGGATCCTGGTCACTGCAGAGTGCAACTACAAGGGAAAGAGAAATCACACACGTTATTCATCAGTTCATCTTGCACAGTAGCAGCCAGAACGACAGCAGGTCCTCACCACCGTCCCTTTTCTATTTGATCTAAGCAACAACAACAAAAGTTCCGGTGACTGCGGTATTAATAGCACACTCATTGCAAAAAGAAAAAGAAAAACAAAAATAAAAACAAAACAAAAAAACCCATAAACATGCATCAAATGAGCAGTATTATTCTCCTGTTCCCCTGTGTCCTTTGCTGGTAACTCTGGCATAATGTGGTGTGCATATGTGCCACGTGCAGCTGCTGTTTGGCCTCTCTAAATAAGCAAACTCAACAGGTTCAGCTAAAGCCCAACCATGTTCAGGGACACTGTTGTGCTCAAGATTGCCCAATTACTCCAAGAGATCAACTTGAGGTCCAGAAGGCAGAAGAGCCCCGTGACCAGGTGTGCCACTTGTGCAGGATGTGCTGGCAGCCTGGCAGTGCAGGGGGCCAGCACTCGATCAAAGGACAGGTCACAGCTGCATGTCCTATGTATAGAGATGGTTAGCACAGCAGGGAAAAGAGATCTGGCAATAACTAATTTGCCCTCTTTTCTCCTCCCTCTTTCTCCCATCAGATCCTCAGTAGTCCGAGAGCAGGAATAATGGCAGAGACAGACACTGGTTTTCTCTTTCTCTCTCTGAGAGGTTCTGTTAATTAGTGAGGGCCCCCTAACTTTGGAGTTTGTAGGTTATTGTTAGGTATAGCAGCTCTTAGTACACCTTCCTTTTTGTTTCTCATCCTTCGAAATTTGCCATGCCTGAGGTCTGACCTCAAAAATATTCAATTATTTTTGAGCATCAGAAAGGCAGAAAAAATTACTCTCTTGAAAAAACACAGAAAACTCTTGCAACCTTTTCTGAATCCATTTTAAGCAACGTAGAAGAAACAAGAAATTTAATATAGGGCAAGAGAATAGCCTTAATAGACTAGGGTTACAAAGTTTTTCAAAAACAGAATATTGAGTTTGCTAATGTGTATCATTCTGTCTGATGATAAACACAGTTAAAAAAATACAAGATAGTGTACAGGAGAGCAGTAGAGTTTATACACTCATCTGGGGGCAATGGAAAAATGCTTAATAATCCTGGCAAACCTGCATCTGTTGAAACTAAACAGTCATAGCGACTTTTGTGTGGTATTTGAGACTTATTTTCAGCACCCCCCCTGCCCCCCCGCCTCCCCATCATTTATATGGTACTAGCAATCTGATTGTTTTGTGATTACATTGCACAGTCTGTGATGGGTATAAATTTAGTTATGTTGCCTCCATTCCTCAGGATAATGCAATACCATATAGACAAAGATTACAACATCCCTATATTCTCATCTTGTTTCTCTAGTAGCTTGGGGGGTATATTTTTCCACCTTTGAGTAGTTTTAATTTTTTTTGACAGAAATAACAATTTAATACTGACATTAGGAAGATAGGTTTGAGAAATGAACTGAACTAACAAATCTTTTCACAGTACTGTGAGAACACGATACCTGGCCATGGTGAGAAGCAAAATTGTGGTGGGAGAAAAAAATGTAACTGTCTGTGCAACAGATAAAGGCCATTTGCAAAACTTTCTTCTAAAGCAAAACAAAATAAAATATTTGCAGGAACATGACAAAGAAATTAACCTCTATGGAGAACACTTCTCATCTTTTCAGTTTGGGGTCGCAAAGTTCTGCTGTTTTGGAATACAAATTCTATTGTATGTGACTAGAGTTTGGGGCAGATGCCCTGATTTACCAGATCAAAGACAGATATCTGATTTTAATTTTTTTGCAACGGGAGCTACTGAATGGTTTTCATTGACAACAGCTATAAAACAAGACGTCACATAAAGAAGCACAGCTGAGGGAAACCAGGAGGAATAGAAAGAATTTCCTGCCTTTATTAGATTCACAATACAACTCCTTCAAAGAGGATCTATGGAGCAACACAATGCAGAAGAAACTAAACTGACATGCAACTTTTATCAAACAGTGTGTGTAGCTATTTACCCAGCCTGCCTCACTGCAGCATTTGCTTCCTTCCACATCTGAAGCACTTTCTTTTAATATTTAGGTTATAAAATAACCTCATCTATCACAGCTATTACTTCATCTTTAGTGAAAGGCTAGAAGCTAAATGTCATATCTAAAATACTCCTTTCCTCTTGGAAATGATCATTTCAGGCTGAGGAGCTTGTTCTGCAGCAGTGGCCTGGTGCTTCTGAGCCCGTGCCGGGCTGTGTTGGGGGGGGACCTGCCCATCCCACCTCTCAGCAATGGGATTTTGGGGGAGAGAGGGAAGCAGGCAGACAGCTCCGTGTCCTGGCACATCCTGGCAGCTGAGCAGCCCCTGGAGCTGGCTGCAAGCTTGTGCTGTTTAGAGCAGCTATGAGATACACTCGGAGCTTTGCCGGTGGCCACAAGATTTGATCTCAAATTGGCGGCAAACAGCCAAAGAAGAGGAAAACTTGCCATTCTCTCCATCCCAACAAAGTATCCTGAGAACGGCAGCAGCACGCCCAAGGATTCAGCACTGGGAATCCCGAGCCAGACTTCCCTTCTCAAGACAAACACAACGCTTTATCTGCACTTTTTTTCAGACCTGATGCTAGGAAAGCCCTCTGCTGCTGCCTCAGTTCAGGGCAGGGCTGTGCTGCAGCACGGCTGCAGGCTCTCTCTCCTTTCTCCCTTTGCTGGCCTGAGGCAGCCCGTGAGCCACAGGATGCTGCCTCTTCCCCAATGCCAGCTGCAGTCCCATGGCTCTCCTTTCTGCTGCCATGCTGGGAATTCAGCTGCAGCCACGCAGATCCAGAGCCCACACTCATAACCCTGGGTGACTGGTTTCCACAGAAAACAGAAACTCCAGGAGCTGACAAGGGCACATCCTGTGAGTTCAAAGGATTGCACAGTCTGCAATTTGGCTTGCCTATGGTACACCAGGAGGCCACCCAGGAAACTTCAGTCTGATGGTAAAGGCTGTTGTGTGATGGGGACAACATTAGCAATATGCTAATGCATAATGCATATTGCACTCCTCAGTGCAGAGGATTCTAATAGCAAGTAACTATATTCAGAATAAACCTGGCACCTAGTTCTGGGACAAATGACTGACTACAAGATCCTCATTTGTCCAGTAGTTCTTAGCCTTACTGATCCTATTAGGAGAAAGGGAAATTTAAGGTATAACAAAAGCTGAATAAATGCTTTTTCTCTAAGGGAGACATGTACTGCTTGCTCATCACTCCCAGTTTTTTTCAGTTAGCTAACAGTGCAAAGAACCAAAAAACAGTTTACTGCTGAGATGCCAGAGCACTGCAGCATGAGAACTGCACAGCACCACCTAAGCTCCCTCACCACAGTGGCACACGGTCCCTGAGTTTTCAGTCATGAAATAATAACATCCACCTCTTCCTTTCACCATTGTTTAAACAGTGACCATTCCTTGGACTTCCCCTCTCCTTCTGAAAATGGTATTTATGTGTGTCCTGCACCACCTTAGAGATTTCTAGAACAGTGTTTTCTTTTAGTTTTAGTCATTTGCATTTGGTAAAATCTTGGTCTTGGTCTTTTTTTACTTTATGTCCCATGCTCACTTGGTTATTTATTTTAGACAGAGAAGAATTGTGGCTTTAACCAGGAGATAAATCCCTTTGAGCAAATATCTCCAGGTGAGTGGTGCACTGGTCTCCATACCAAGCTATATTTAAGCCTGTGGCACAGCTGACAGATGAGAGATGGTGAAATTGCACAGTCCTGCCAGCTGGTTCTGTCCATGGGCCCAGGAGGGGATGACAGAAAGCAAAAATCCTTCCACTTATCCTGGGCTAAGCCATTTGCACCAGGGCCTCAGAGAGCCATGGCTGGAAGTTCTTCAAGCTGTTTTATTTTTTCTGGCCCTCCTACCTCTGCCAGCAGCACAGGAAGAGAGGCACCAGGAACCAGAGCCCCACAGTAGGGTCAGTTTGGGTGCCCTGGGACGGCCAAACCCCACACTGGGCTCTATGACACAGCTCTCTGCTGTACAGAGCCTGGCACAACTTTCAGCTGTGCCATCAAAGCTGAGCCTGAAGGCAAAAGTGTTGTACTTGGAGATGTATGGTCAGGACAGAAAGAAAAGCTTGTTTTTATTCTTAAGTTCCTGCAAAAGATGCAGGAAGCTACAAGAAGGGGTGAAAAAAACTGTATCCCTTTGCTTTGTGGAGGAATCCTTTAATTTAAAAGTGAGAAGGTATTACCAGAATTTTGTTAATTTAATCAGGTAACAAAGAAGTCTGCAGCCTCCCTGTGAAGGAAACAGATCCTTTCCCAGCAGGGATGGGTTAGAAACTGCTGATTCATCTGCAAAATGGTCCAATCCCAGAAATCCTTTAAGCTCACATTATATAATCTCCTACCTCAATGAAATCTATGGGCATAGGGGATGAAGACCCAACCACCAGTGTCCCACTTGGGTCTCACCTTGCTGGTGGCACAGCTTTGTTCCCAGGGAAACTCCACAGTGACAAAATGCAAAATGCAATGGAACCATTCAGTCTTCGACAAGCTCCCATGCCCAGCTCATGAAAACACATGCTGACTCTCTGGGGAGCTGGGTCAGACACAGATACCATTTTTAATCATAAAGATGTGCACAACTACCTCCTGCTTATCATATATACCTCAAAAAGATGTTTGGTTTTGCTGCTGAGCAGTGATATGTGGTGTTTATAGGGGACATCACTCACCATAAGGACTCGACTAGACTTTGTACTTGACATACAGTCAATGAATGGCCAATGAGACAAAACTAGCTAGATATATGGATGTCCTCCTGCACTGCAAATGATCTGGCACACAGGCATGTTTTACTCTCAGGAGCATCATCTTTGCAAAGCTGTATCACTTTGTTGTTTCTGCTATTTGACTTATTTAGTCTTGCAGTCTCCATCTGATGGTTCAAATCCAATATTAGCTTTGCTCTTCGGTGTTGCCACT